CTCTCTTTGAGCATGTGCCATACTTTGCACATGTGTGGGAAGTCCTGAACAAGTTTACGAAGGTCCACCGCACTTTCTTGCAGCTTGGCATGAGCGGACACACGGTTTACAGGTTTAGCCAGGGTTTTGGCTATGTAACATAACAATCCTACGGTTAACGTTTGGGGTTCATAATACTAGGGTCTAGGCCAGACTTTTTGTGACTGGGGTGCACCATAGTAACCTGTACGGTTATTAGGGTCTTTAATAGGGGTCTCTCTCACCTTTATACAGATAATTACATGAAGCCAGGGTTTATGCGTATACATTGTACCCTGTACAATGCATGGTTATTCTACCAGCCCCCTAAACCCTAAACCCTATGTTAAATACCTTGGTACTGCCCCCACTCACCCCCTATAAGTATAATAACAATTGGATAACATGCACTATATATATATATATCTATGTATATATATAGCCCTTATAACCTCTATGGGGGCAGTACCAAATCTATACCCCTTAATCCCCATAAGCCTGGCCATGATCCAAGTTGGATGGGATGCTACGGGCACTTCAGTTGCAAGGGCTCCCTCGCCTATGGGACTCTGTGTGGACCTTACGGTACTATGTAGATCTAGAGGAAATCCTGCTTACTACATGGGCCCATAACAGTTAATTCTATCCTATATGATTTTTTGCAGGCTTCCCTCTAGATCTTATTATTATAATGATGACATGACCAATGTGTGGTGCTAACTTGATTTTGAAAACAGAGCTTGCATGCTTGGCTACTTGAAGCAGCTGAGGGGCTTCATTCCCAAGCTGGCCAAGCGGCTCACCAGGAAAAGGAAAGCCCGATACGGGCTTTCGTCGGCGGGAGTTGTGAAGAAGAGCATTGATAAGCGAGGCCGCGCAGTTGTGAACCTTGGATGCATTGCACTAAATCGGCGTAACAAACAGCTTGGTTCTGACACGTGATTGGCCAGGAGTGGTGGGAAGCTTCTCAAGCTTACTCAAGAGTATCCCCGGAAATTCTGCGCGAAAGTGGTTCGCCTCCATCTTGCATATGCAGAGACTTCGAGTCATTTATGTAGGGTTTATTCGGGTTGTGTTTAATCTCGATAATGGTTGGGGTGAATTTCTTGCGAATTTGTGGATCCCAAATCCCCTTTTTTATAATTATCGTATCCCCTATTAAAGAAATTGTACCCGATTATCATTCATAAATATAATATATACATGTATATGATATGTGTATATATATATACATACCCGAAGCCCCAAACCATTCCAACACTTTCTCCAGCAGCTAAGGAAAAACATGGGGACCGGATGGATAGGAGGCTCCAGCGTGGGGTGAAGTTGCTTAGCAAAGAGAAGGCTCGGTGGGCTCAAGTCTGCTCTAGAACCACACAATTTAGATTTGAGTGTCCATGATTCAAAGTAAAAGCCTCTTGGTGGGTGTGATCACACATAGCCCATGACCCTATCCCTAATTATAGTCCCAATAGGCCTATACCAAGTATCTCTCTTCAGGTGGATGCGCCGCTCGGATGGCAGCACGCTGGGCTTGATGATGTCCGAACATTCCTGCAGCAGGAGCGATCTGCTGGGCGGTTTTCACCGCTTTTTGAACTCTAGCTAGTGATGTTTTCCTGTGCTCCTGTGCTAGTACTCACCCGTATTATAATTATAATTCTATGGAACCACTGCATGCTTGGAATTCAGAGTGATCATATTAAGGGCTGATCTCCAAGAAACGTGAGCTCTTGCAGAGCACAGGCTAGGATGCCACGAGCAAATTCGTAATTCTGTGCGAATACTATAATTCGTGCGCTGGTTTCATGTTACCCGAATCTGGTCCCAGCTGTGGCAGAACATGTTGGCTTTCTGTGTGCGAGCCTTGCATTCCTGCTTGACGCATAGCTGCTGGCAAGAACCTGAGCTGAGTTCAGATGCTGCTTGGGTGAGCTGCTAGAGTATTTGGTTTCAGGAATAGGTCAAAAGGCAATGGAAATCAGTACTCCTGCGGCTCAGCTGGCTTTTGATTCTTGTACCCTCAAGAGGCCCAAGTATGTCTTTCAATGAAAATCTAGATTTCTCTGCGAAATCAGACTCCAGAAAAACACCGTGACTCGAGCGTGACTCGAGCGTGACTCTGCGTGACTCAGGCGTGACTCCTCTCATGAGCTGGTCATAGGGACCCCCCCCGGGGCCAGCTGGGCGTGACTCGAGCGTGACTCTACCGTGACTCTGGGGTGGGTTGGGGAGGGTCGGAGGCTTTCCTGGAAATCTCGAATTCCATCAGGTACTTTTACTAGTTGCGCCTCATGTCGCGTCATGTTGATTTGTCCCTTGTGTGGAACCGATTTGCTCAAGCTGGTCTGGTGTGATTGATGATAGGTCCCTCAGAACAAGATCAAACCAGCAACCTAGATGCGGATTCCAGGTTTCTAGTGTCTAGCTACGTACCATGTGGAGCACATATATAGTATGAATCCATACTGCATCATACTTGCAGCGCTAGCTCATTAGATTTCGGATTTGGTATGACGAGCACGTCTGTGCTTGGAGGTGTGAACCAAGCTATTGCAGCTGCGCGCTAGAAGGCTTCCTTATTATAGCCAAGAATACCCGGGTTTTCAGGTTTATGTGCTCGTACTCGGGGTTGAGGGCAAATTATGTAGGTATACCCATGGAAGCAAACTAAGTACCCTATAAACGTTTTCCACCCTAGAATTCCCTTTAAAAGTTATTGCTTGGATGCTGTCCTCAGCTGGTATAAGACAATATACATCTGTTATAACCACCTATAGTACCTATACATAGGGCATATTACAGCTGAGAGCAGTATCCAAGCTATAGAAGACACTGAACCCCAAGCAAGAATAATTATAATTATAGTACCCAAGCTAATGTATAACAAACATGATAAAAAAAAAAAACCTACCCCAAAGCCAGCTATGTAAATCCGAACATAATCCATTTGCAGGGCTTGCCGAGGCCTGAGTGTATTGGGCTACTCAAGGGATTTGGGCTACATTCTTTTATAAAACCCTGGGGATCCAATTATATGCATAGTAAGGGCTATGAAGGTAAATTAATTCGGGATTAGGCTTTCGAGGGTCATTGATCCAAATCTAGATCTATGGAAGGCGAAGCCAAGACGCTGATGGCGGCTGTGCCAGCAGCAGATACCTTGCAAGCCACGAAAGCAGAGCCAGCTCCAACACCGGCCAGGGTCAAGTGTGAGTTGTTTAGCCCTGCCACCCGAGGGCAATGCGATCTTCACTACAATGACCAATATGAGGCTGCTACCCAGCAAGTGCCATACGAAAGCCAACAAACGTTCTTGGATTCCATGCAGGATGGCCAAGAGGCTAATGGCCCGAAAACCCCAAGCCCGGGTAAAGCCCAAAGGAGGACTCCAAAGAAGCAGAAGACTGATCATGAAGCCCAGGAAAAGATGCCCCCCAGCAAAGCTGATGAGCAGAAGACCCCAAACAAAGCTGAGGAGCAGAAGACCCCAAACAAAGCCGAGGAGCAGAAGACCCTGGACAAAGCCGAGAAGCAGAAGACCCCAGACAAAGCCGAGAAGCAGAAAACCCCAAACAAAGCCGAAGACCAGAAGACCCCAAACAAAGCTGAAGTCCAGAAGACCCCGAAAGCTACGACACCGTTGTCAGGATCTATCGAGGGTACCCCGAAGTCTGCTGGAAGCATGCTAGGCAAAAGACGCCGATTGTCCAAAAGCCCTGATCCCTTGAACGAGGTGCCGAAGTCTGATGCGCCCTGTTTGCAGATCCAGATCTGCGAAGCGGTTTCGGTGTAGCACTGGTGGAGCATAACCTTGGGTATTACTTATATGGCAATATTCTTCAGGTGCAGGGTTCAGGGGTTCAGATAACGGAGGGATATCGGTCGTTCATGTAGGCAGGGGGATGGATTTCAAGGTTTGGGAGCGGAATCTTTATTTGCGATAGTCATGATGTCCCTTCTGTGGAATTCCAGAGCCTGGAGGTTGGACAGGTTTCTTTTTACAGTCGTAGTATTATTACTCATGATCATGGCACAGGTCCCATAACCCAGATCTATATTAGGCTCACCCAGACCAAGATTCCCAAAGCAACCTCAAAATTATCATGTCAAGCTATAACACCCCTTACCGTGTTAGTGCTGCGTACTGGGGTGTACTGTCCACTGGCCCTTAGGATGGGGAATATTTTAAAACCCTATACCTACACAAAATTCTTTGTATTGGGGTGTTGTCCGCCAGCCCTGTATAATTATAACCCATAGCGTAGATCAGGGGGATTGTCCACCAGCCCGCAATTACCACCCTTTCAAAGTTTAGACTTCTGATTATCGGGGAATTGATCGTCTGCTAGCCCTATATATATATATCATCCCTATATATAAATATGTTTCTTATGGGGGGACTGTTCAGTGGCTAATAATATAATGATCACAAGGATTTCTCCACCAGCCCCATACCTCGCTAATCTTACAAGGATTTATGGGAACCCATGACCAGTAGCAGCAGTCTGGTACTCACGCAATCTGCAATTGTGACAAGTAGCCTTCGAATTCTGCCCAGAATTGATGACGATCCAACTTGAGAATCCTATGCTAGTTATATGTAATTGCAACCTGGTCGTACATTATCTGCGAAAATAATTGCAAGTCCAGGCCCCGATCAGATCGAATCTTATAAATGTAGCGGCAGCGTGTGAATCCAGGTGGACTCGAAGCAGGAACAGTGGACCTCGTCATCCGGGTGGAATTGGGATTGGGGCCAGGAAGACTGGCAGTGGTGGTCAGGTGGGCAGCAGCAGCAGCAGCAGGGTTGGTGGGCTACAGCCTATGATTACTGGGGTAGCAGTAGCAAGCAAACATGGGAGCAGAACTCACAACCTGATTCTCAGCTTACGGCTTTGCAAAGCATATTGCAGCGTGGGCGAACAGTTGACCAACTGGAAGACTGGGAGCTACAACAGGTTGTGGCGGATATCGATCGCATGCAGCAGGAAAAAAAGGCGAAGACAAAGGATGAAAAGGTTGACCTGCAGAAAAACATAATACAGGAGAAGGAGCAGGACAAGGAGCAGGACAAGGAGCAGGACAAGGGGCAGGACAAGGGGCAGGACAAGGGGCGGGACAACACGCAAGGCAACACGCAGGACAACACGAAGCACGACACGAAGGATGGTGGAGCAAACAGTACCGGCGCCAGCAGCAGCAAAGAGCATGCTGATGGACCTCAGCTGCAGCAGTCTAATCAGCAGGTGAAAGAATCGAAGCATGAAAGAAAGAAAAGACTGCATGCAAGAAATATGCGGTTCTATAGATCCTTGAGCAGTTCCGTGGATGCATCTTATATTCTCCAGATGTGTGTTGATATTCCTACTAGTACTATAGGCTGCCAATCTGCCATGCTCAGGTCCAAATTGCCCGAAAGAGATTGCAAAGCTTGCGCTCAAGGCAAAAGAGAATTCGGGTCAAAGAAGCTACTTATTTGAACACTGGTTGTTGGCGAATGGCTGCTGGGCAAAGTCGCGACTTTTGGTCAAGTTGAGATCAAAAAGTTCTAGCCGCAAAAAAGGCCTCAGGAGGTGGTACACAAAGCAGGAGCTCATCGAGCGCTATGGAGAGTCTGTGGCCTTGGCCATCATCGAGGCCAAGATGACAGATGACGAGAAGCGTTTGACAGAGGTGAGAGATCACCCCGAATGCCCTCAGCGGGAGGACTGGCCTTGCGTACACATGTTTAAATACATTGGTCATGAGTAGCAACTTGACATCATGATAGTGCACTGCATTCAGGATATGAAGCAATACAAATGCCTCTGCGATGAGACGGAAGAGGACGTAGATGAGGAAGAGCTCGAGAACGTCTTTGAGTGCGAGGTGTCAGACAGTTCTACGGAGTCGGATGATGGCAATGATGAGAGTGATGCTACGTCCAAAAAAAGAAAGTCCAGCAAGCAGAACAAGAAGAAGAAAAAGTCCCCCAAAAAGGCCAAAGGTAAGAAAGAGAAGAAGACAAAGGGTGGAAAAGAGGCTTGATGCGTTATGGTGATGTATCATTTGTACTATTATATGATCTGGTAGCAGCTAGCTGTATACAGATCCCAATCGAAATTGAGTTGATCAATGAGGCACCAAAGAACAAGACGAAGAAGGGTAAGGATGCTAAGGAGTTGTCAGCTGACGAAAAGCTAGCGCAAGAAGAACATGAAAAGCGTGAGAAGGCTGCAAAGGAAAAGAAAGGCAAGGCAAAAAAGGCTGCTTGGAATCCTCATAATTAGCTAGTTATTTATAAGATGGGCTTAGGATTTACAATTATAATGGTTAGCTAATAAGGGTTATAAGGGCTATACAGGTTTAAATATATATATGTATATATTATATATATATATTGGGTTGGGGAGGGAACCACATTCGGACGGTCTTATAAATCCGGAGAGTCCTTCGAAATTCCCACACAAACTCCTATGTGGCTCCTCAATTAAAACCCGTGGTCCAATGTTCACATGTGAGCCTGAACCCTATAGGTAGCTATAGACAACCTTCGAAATCTCAGGCTATCGACAAGGCCACTGACAAGATCAAGGCTGCTGGGAATGTGGAAAAGGAAAAAACCCCGGAGACGTGCCTAGTTTGCAAATATTGCAATTGTGGTTTCACTGGAATTGGAACATGGCCTGTGTACATACGGACTATGCTAAGGGGAAACCACCTCATCGATGCCATGAAGAAAGACATTGCCCAGCAGGCAACACATGGGACTAACTAATAATAACCTAATAACCACATCCTATCCTTTGCCCATATGCGCTATGATAAATTGATGGCCTTATAATAATTAAGCTAACAAGCCTATTTCAATCCCTAATAAACTCCTAATCCCAAAAAACCTGGGTCAGGCCAAGAGCATCCAGACTGCTCGTGCCGAGCTGCAGAAAGCGTACGACGCCGATGAGGCAATCACCATTCCTGGGAATTATATTATAAGAACTATTATTAGCTAGGGTTTGGGGGTGGGGTGGATTTTTTGCTAGTGTGTAGCTGCGTAGGAGGTTCCAAAACATACATGTACAATGAATTCTGCCCTGGGCCCCATATAATAATTATAAATAATTTGATCATGACAGTTCTCCTATTTTTCTATTGTTATCCTGAATTGTCCTAATTATGGAATACCCAGACCTTTACGGGATGTTTCCGGAAAGAAATACGATTGTTTTGGCCCGCATCATGCCGAAGCAACTGCACTTGAGCTCCGTAACCCGCCTAATTCTAAACCCCAAACACCAAACCCTAAACCCTAATTAAAGCCTCAACCTGGGTTATAATATTCCATGGCCCCAAGGTCGATGGAATGGAAGACCTGACCGCAACTCTTCTTGAGACCTGTTCGAAGCTTGATGAGCTGCTAAAGGTGTACAAAAACAATTCGAAGGCCAGCAAGAGCACGAAGAGTGGCAAGAAGGATAAGTGATTTTGTTTGTTCCTAGGCCCGGATATTAGTTATAATTAGCTATAATAATAATAATAACGTAACTAGGGGGTCCCATCACCTACTGACGCCACTTCTTCCAGTTTTCTGCCAGGGATGATCATGCGTACGGATCATGTAAGAGCCTTGGCCTATGCCTCTTCATAGCGCTATATCCACTACGTATACCCAATTTTTGGACCCCAAACCCACGAATGCTGACAATGATCACGATCAGTTGTATCTTAAAAAACCCAGCTCCTGTACCCGAAGCCCTATATTGCAAGTTGCAGAGAGGAGGCAGCCAGCCCGCGCCGGTGTAGGCGTGCTTGCAGATATAATCTGTGTCCATGGGCGGACATACCTCGGCTGTGTAGCTCTTATCGATTATCCGATCGTTGATCATGACCATTGAGGGATATTTTCAACTTATAAACTTGGAAGTCTGATCATGATCGATGATTGAGCTCCAGCTTTTTGAGATGGTATGTGGGGGTTTAACATGGATTGTGTCCTGCAGTCTTCTTACACCTATGGAGCTGGCAACCTTTTGCTTTATCCCATGTGGCCTCAAACGTGGCAGTGGCCACGCGGATCATCATGCCGGATTGATGCTGTCAAAATTCCTGCCTGACATACAATTGTAATATAATTATCTCATGTGTGCTATTCGGGAACCCTGTACATGTATCATGGCAGGGTCGAATGATCATGATCAAGATGGTGATACGGAATCTGGATTATTGCAGAATATGTTGGAGCGAATTTCGGATGGGGAGATTTGACTGCAGCCAGGGTGCATTCATGTCATGAATCTTCGCCGAATAGTTTCCAGCCCTGAGCCTCAGATCCCAGGCCAAAACAGTTGGGGCGGCTATGCATGACGCGCACAGTGCCTACGAGGAACTGGGCTTGCGATCATGATCAGAATTTCTAATATTAAGAACAAACCCTGCTATATAATCCGAGGGAAACCCATATTATACATCACAAATAAATCTTACACCCCTATAATAATATACCCTGGGATATAATTAAGCGGGGCTCATGATCAATGTCTAAATAAGGAAGCTGGTGGGAAAGTGAAAAGCAAGATGATTCGGAAGTTGATGCGGTACAAGCCTGGGAATTATTCTCGAGACTTCTTCAGGAATATGAAATTGCCTCTGGTGCCTTGGACCTTTATAATTATAGGGTAGATGAGGATTTGAGCAAGGGAAACCGGAATTAAAATTGGACCCCACCTATAATATAATGTAATAACTGCAACCCAGGACCCGACAAATGTCAAGGTTCCCGTGTACGCCATGGTTAATGGGCAGCAGACGGAGGTAGAGACTACAATTCCTGTACTAGACGTCCATGAGCTCCTTGACTACCTTCGAACTGAGCTACAGCTAGTTCCTCCTCGCAATGTTGTTCACCAGTATTGGCGGCACCTCCGTGATTGCGACAATCCTCATGCAAAATTTTTTCCTGGAACTGACGATCATATTCCATTTTCGCTGTATGGTGATGAATGCGTGCTAGGGGACCCCAAGGACAAAGTCACTGGAATTTATTTAAGCCTGACGCTGTTCAAACCAAAAGCCATTAGACAAGGGCAGTGGTTGCTTTGCTGTATGCAAGATGAGCACATGGTCCATGACCAGCTGAAAACATTGCGACCTATCCTGCAACACATTGTTTACACATGCAACTGCGCGTTTGAGGGGATCTACCCAGAACTTGATGCCTGGGGGCAGCTGTTGCCGGACAAGAAGCGCAAGCTTGCAGGAAGAAGGATGGCAGCCCAGTATGCCTGTGCAGAATTGAAAGGGGATTGGAAATACCATGAACGGATTCTTCGCCTAAAGGCTACTCCGGTATCCCGTGAATGCTGTTTCTTGTGTGATGCGGAAGCCAGTGATGGAATCATGCGATACTACAGCATTGGTGACGAGGCTGCCTGGGTTCCAACAGAGGTCACAACAGCGGGCTTTGTCAACAGAAAAGTGCGCCCAGGAATCCTCAGATCCTAGTACGTGATAATTCATTATTATTACAAATCCAAGTTTTTTTTTGATTCCAATTCCCTAGAGCTGAGTTCTGGTTGAAGTTTCAGGGTATGTAAAAATGGGGATAAAAGGCCATAGGCATAGCATAGGCGCCCGAATGTAGCATCTGAGGCCCACTTCTTCATCTTCGAGGTTTCCATGTATCCATGATCAAGTTCTGCTCAATGCATGTGTGCAACCTGGGATTGATGCACACAGCGAGCGGCGGGGCTTTGTGCCTTGCACCAATTATTATTTATTGTGTGGCAAGATTTTCCAACACACTCATGATACGATTATTCGCAGCTAAGGCAAGCTCTTCTTCAAACAGGTCTCTTTGGGGATCTAGCTACTGGATTGAATGCCTGTCTGGCCAAAGCTTATGATGACTTCAAGCAATGGCGCCGAAGCCACAAAATTGCCTGCAGCCAACGGATATTTCGAGAGCGCCATCTTCTTAAATTAAGCCATGGATATTACTTTACTGCGAAGGCCCACAATTGCCGCGTTGTGATGGAGTGGCTGGCAGCACTTTGCCGGACAGCTTCAAATAATGCCCCGCAAGATTTGCACCTGCATCTCCATGCGAGAGCCCTGCTACTCAGCCAGAAGTTGGGAGGATTATTTTTCTGAGTATGAAATTAGCCACCGATTCTTAGTCCAAAGTTGGGTGATGTATGGCCCCAGCCCTGCACCCTAGAACCGCGTTTGCTCGTTGGTGTGGCCTCTCTGAGCGCGCTGGCCGCTATCTGCCGCCCATTGCAAATCAGCACCCGAACTTTCAGGTATTTTTCAAATGTTGTAGTATGTTTTACATAGCATGGTAATAATGGGAAGCCCAAATTAAAACAGAACTACCGTGCCCCAACCCCTGTACGTAGCTCATGCAAGAATTTGACTGCAGTAGCTTGCACTTATTTAAGGACTGAGCAGGAGGCAACCCAGATTTATGATTCCGGCCATGAATTTCTTCGTTGCCACCTTATGCTGAATAGATTGTCGTGCAGGTTGCTTAGTCAAATTTAGTTCCGTGGTCGTTGTCTAGGGTCAGGTGTGAATCAACCCTGCAAACGTTTGCAGGCTTCGCGTGGTGGCATGGATACTCAAACCAAAGTTTCATGCTCCTGGCCTGCATGCATCCGCATCGTACCATGATACAGTATATTCCTGACCCTTATAATCATGGTTGAGACCTGGCATACCCAGGCTTTCTCTCATCTACTTCGGCAATCCCGAGCATGGCGAGCCCGGGCTTGAACATGGAAATCGGAAATCTGAGATCAGCTGCATGAGGCTTTCCAAGTGTTGTTTCTGTAGGTCCGGTTTCTCATAGCTCAGGTTACAATACCCGATACACTCACAATTTTGCTGGTGAGGATGCCATGGGATGGCTGAAAGGCCTCAACCTCATCACCACATTATTTTGGCCGTGATTGCTTGCTTTTCTACATTCTAACTTGCAAATCTCTGCCCCAGTTAAGGCATATCTTTGAAGGCTCCACGCAAGCCCGCTGTCTTTAGCCGGT